CCCAGCTACTTGGGAGGCTGAGGCAAGAGAATCGCTTAAGCCCAAGAGTTGGAGGTTGCTGTGAGCTGTGATGCTACAGCACTCTACTGAGGGCGACAGAGTGAGACTCAGTCTCAAAAAAAAAAGTTAATGTGCATCCACGGCTTCAGAGATTGACCAAATTTGAGTAACAAGGGAGATATTTTAATAAGGAGGCCTACATTAGTCTGTGGCAATTTGCTGTATATCAGGAGAGACATACATTCAATTAACCGTGTGTAAATGTTGTGACATTGTGATTTTAACATCTTGGGTTGTCTAGCAGCAATAGGAAACACAGATGGTACCAGTCTTTCTGCCAGCTCGTCAGGCCATGACTTCCCTTGGCTGCAGCTTCCAGAAGAGCAGAACGGCTCTGGTATCCTGCTCAGAGTGCCAAAAATGTAGGGGCAAAGGGAAAACTTGCCCTTTGCCCTTTGAATGGTTGCTGCAAATCACGTGACAAAAGGCAGATTAATAGAAGAGGCATACAATGCATGGGAGAGGAGAGGAAATCAGAGAGATTACTGCCAAATGTCCCAGTGGGGTACAGAAGCTAATAGACCTTTTTTTTCACAGGGAGGGAGTAAATGGGGAATGTAGACAATTCTTTCTTTTTTAATTCAATTTTACTTCTTTTATTTTTTAAATAATACTAACTCATTTAGCCAAAGTGATAATCAAAAGATTTCAAAGACCAAAAGGACGCTTTACTCTTGGAAAGAGAAGGGACTCAGTTTTTCAAACAAACCTAATAAAGTCAGCAGGAGGCAAACTCTCTCTCTCTCTCTCTCTTTGTTGTGGTTTACTCAAAAGGTGAACAAAAATCTTTTACTATTTCCTATGAATACTACACAAAAATCTTCTTTCCAAGAAAAAACCAAAACCTTTGCATCAGTGAATTATTAACGCTAAAGAGGATTTTAATGAAATCTTACGGACAAATCCATCCAATTTCAATCAGCTTATTTTATTTATTTATTTATGTGAGACAGATTTAATTTATTTATTTCACTTTGTTGCCCTGGGTAGAGTGCTGTGGTGTTGTAGCTCACAGCAACCTCAAACTCTTGGGCTCAAGTGATCCTCTGGCCTTAGTCCCAAGTAGCTGGGACTATAGACACACATTACATCTAGTCTTGTTCTTGCTCAGGTTGGTCTAGAACTCCTGCAATCCACCTGCCTGGACCTCCCAGAGTGCTAGGATCACAGGCGTGAGCCACCTTGCCCCGCCATCAATCTCAATCAGCTTTGACCAGGTAAGATTTCCATAACCCTTTTATAATATCTTACAGCTTCCCTCATTCTTCCTTTCCCTGACTTTCTATGTCTGTTTAATCTATCATTCTCTTTTCAAACCTCTGAGCTCAGGGCAATCCACCCGCCTCGGCCTCCCAGGGTGCTAGGATTACAAGTGTGAGCCACCATGCCTGGCCTATCATTCTCTTTTCCTTCAATTTAAAACAATCTTTATGTAACTTTTAGACCAGTGATTTTCAACTGGTGTGCTGCCGCACACTGGTGTGCCATGAAAGGATCTTTGGTGTGCCCCCAAAATTATAAAGATCATTAATTAAATTAATTTTTGAAAGAAATTCAAAGCACAGTAAGTGTTCTTTTTTACTCTCTCTCTCTCTCTTTTTTTTGGTCAATATAATTTAAGTGTGCTGTGGAAGTTTAACTATAGGTTCAAGGATGCCATGAAATAAAAATGGTTGAAAAACACTGCTGCAGACAAAATTACTTTTCCTTTAAATAAAACCATTCTCGCGCGGCCCGGCGCCCAAAAGAAGAAGGCCACGGCGCCAAAAGCAAGAAGGGGGGGGGTCAAAACCAGCCCTGGCCAAAAACTGAAAACAACAACAAAAAAAAAACCCAATAACTATTCTCATGTCCTTCTTATCACCTTTTCTTTACCAAAAACACACCTTACGTTCCTTGTACATTCTGTATACAGAATTGTTTCTCTCATATTGAGTGATTTTGTTTATATGTATTAACTAATTTGAACTCCTAATAACCCTAATTTCCATTAAAATTCTGGTGTTTTTCAGGATATTGTGGTCATTACCAGAACCTAGTTTTGGTTTTCCTTAATTGCAAGTTGTGGGGTGTGCAGGCTTCTAAGATGGGATTCCAGGCTTTGTTTTGGAGCTCTGAAGCAGAGTGATTTCATTTTATGGGTCACACATCATACTTTCTTGACGTGTGAGGAACCCCCTCCCATACACACACACATCTGGTGTCAAATACTCTGTGCCAGTTGGGAGCATCTAGTAGGAGAAACTGAAACTTTTTCTTTCTATAGTCAAACACTATAACAGATTCACTGATTCCAGGGATTATAATGTGCACATCTTTGAGGAGGGGGAAATTACTCTGCCTACTACAGGTGCTAATTCTGATTTTATTTATTTATTTGAGACAGAGCCTCAAGCTACCACCCTGGGAAGAGTGCCATGGCGTCACAGCTCACCACAATTTCCAACTCTTGGGCTCAAGTGATTCTCTTGCCTCAGCCTCCCGAGTAGCTGGGACTATAGGCACCTGCCACAATGCCTGGCTATTTTTTTTTTGTTGTTGTGGTTGTCATTGTTGTCTAGCTGGCCCTGGCCAGGTTCAAACCTGCCAGCCTCAGTGTATGTTGCACTGTGCTACAGGCCCTGATCCCTAATTCTGATTTTAAAAGTGCTATGGAGCTCAGCACCTGTGGCTCAAGTGGCTAAAGCGCCAGCCACATATACCTAAGGTCGTGGGTTCGAATCCAGCCC